CCTTGGATACAGACGTCATTCCTGATGTGGTCCAGTCTATCTGTAATGCACAAACTACAAACAGAGAGCACTGTCCCTACTTTGAGAATATATACCTACCTGACAACGTCACATCTGCTTCATGTATGAATGTAAGTACTGGTATTGTACAATGTGAGGCACAGAGTGAGTCGAACACTTCTTCCTTACCTGAAACTTCATGTCTTGATTCATGTGTTTTTTCTGACATTGATTGGCAAAAAGAACAATCAGTTGATAAGGATATTAGTAAAGTTGTACATTTATTGAAGCAGGGATGTGTACTATGTAAGTCAGATTTAAAATCAGAGACTCTAGAAGTTTGCAAATATTTTAGAGAAAAAGACAAATTGTTAATTGAAAATGGTATTTTATATAGAACATCTCTTTTAAACCATGATCATGTCAAGCAATTGGTTCTACCAGCTCATTTCAGAGATGCAGCATTTGAATACTTACATACAGATTTAGGACATCATGGCAGAGAAAGAACAACCCAGCTTATGAAAGAGAGATTCTATTGGCCAGGTATGATTCAGGACATCACCAACAGAAACAAGACCTGTGATCGCTGTGTCAAGTTCAAAACACCAGAGAAAATTTCAGCTGAACTTGTAAATATTGAGAGGTACCATCCTCTCGATTTGGTTTGTATGGACTATTTATCCCTTGAAAAGAGTAAAGGTGGATTTGAAAATGTCTTAGTGGTAACAGATCATTTCACCCGTTATGCACAAGCTTTTCCTACACGTAACCAGACCGCAAAGACAACTGCTAGGATTTTGTTTGACAATTTTATATTACACTATGGTTTTCCTAACACGTTACACAGTGACCAAGGTAGAAGTTTCACAGGTCATGTCATAAGAGAGCTTTGCAAGATAACTGGTGTGAAACAATCTAGAACTACTCCCTATCACCCCATGGGGAACGGTATGGTTGAAAGGTTTAACCAGACTCTTATCAAGATGCTGGGTACCCTAGACAACAAACAGAGGGATGACTGGAAATCCTTTGTAAGTACACTTGCCCATGCATACAATGTAACAAGACATGAGAGTACTGGTTATTCCCCTTTCTTCCTCATGTTTGGGAGACATCCACGATTAGCAATTGATGCGTTTCTCAATTTAAATTCCGATACGTCAGAGAAAATACGTAGTCGCAATAATTTTGCGAAGAAACTACAGAAGAGACTCGAATTTTCTTATAAAATTGCTTCACGAGAAGCAGAAACGAACGCAACTCGTCATAAGAGCATCTATGATACAAAAGTCCGAGAATCTAAAATACAGGTCGGTGATCGTGTATTAATTAGAAATGTGAGTTTGAAGGGAAAGAATAAGCTGGCTGATAAATGGGCTAGAGACCCCTACATTGTTACTGAACAGCCCAGCCCTGATATTCCCGTGTTTATTGTGAAAAAAGAGAATGTAAAGATAAATGCATAGAAACATGTTGTTGCCAATCTCTTATATACCCAGGCTATCAGAAACAGAGCAGATCAGCCCAGGATCTAAGACACTCCCTCTAAAAACTACTGATCAGACACCGACCCCAGTCACTCCTACTCCTCCACTTGATAGTGAGTGTAAGGTAAGTGACGCTGCTATTTCAAGCTCTGAATCTTCTGATTCAGACTCAGATTCTGATGGTAGACAGGTTTATATCATTCCACAACGTAGAGTAAGTAGACTTCCAAGTTCTATTTCTCATCCTTGTCCAAGTACTTATCCTGATTCTACTGCTAGTACGTATTATAATACTACTGATTCTATCTTGAATCGCAATTTATCTACTGTACAGAGTACACCAACACCCCTCCCTAGACGTTCTACTAGACAGGTGAGAAAACCGGAAAGATACGGTGAGTGTGTGCACCAGGTTACCCCAGTTTATTATGTATAGTATACACAGGGGAGAATGTCACATAGTTGATGTTCATTTTGTTTGTAAGTATGTTTTTGTTTTAATACTTTGTCTATAATGATACATGGACATTGTGATTTGATTCAGTAATTTATTAAAATGTCAGGAGCAATTTTCCCTAGCAGGGGAGAATGTCACAGTTGTAATTAAATTATGATTATTATTAAATATTTGCTTTGATGCTTTGCGCATTATTAAGTACGTATTCTGATTGGCGCGCATAGCCAATCGAATACAACTGGTTTTGCAGGTATGTGAGAGCCATGTGCGAGTGATTTGTTTTGTACAGGTGAATTTCTGTTTTTAGCATTTCCTTTACGTATGACTGACCAGTGACCTACCATGGACCAATGGATTTCGTTATACTAATTTATATGCATGTTTCACTAATCCGTGCACTATATAAAGTAAGAAACCCGCCGAAATCCCCACCCCAAGCTCTTCAGCCTTTACGGTAACAGATTGCTTATATATATCATCACAGATCGATTCAATCGATGTTCAACATATATTAACACTTCTTATTTAATACTGGATGCCTGGTAAGATGTTCATTAAACTTGTAATTCATTTACTTGTTTAATCTATGTAACGATCTACTGGCAGTCGTTTGAATATCTTATTTAATTATTACTTTTCGTAAATGTTGAAATGTCCTTTTGTTTCGTGTTTGTCTATGTGTATTGTTTTGTATGAGTGTTGTGAGAGTGTTTTTCTATTTTCTAGGTTTTTCTTTATATCCATTAATAAATTGATAAACGGCCGAACCAGTTTTGTTTTGAATTCTTCTAACAAGACCGTGACCCTGTGACATATAGTCCTTTTTAGGATTTTACTGAATTATCTCCTTTTGAAAGAGGGTGTAGATCTTGATTTGAACAGACTTGAAATCCTTTCACTCGAGGATGCTTATTTGCAAGATAAAGATGAAAATGTGAAAAGTTTACAGACGGACAGACACACAGACGTATATACAAAATGTGATTAGAAAAGCTCACTCGTTTTCAGCTCAGGTTAGCTAATGACATAAATTCAGTAAAGAAATTTAGCCATGTTATCTATTTATTTATTTATTTTTGTATGTATTCATGAGGGGTGTATCAGAATAGTATTGATAAACAAATTGAGAAATTGTAAATTGAAATGCAGTAATATTTTAGATGGTATTAAAATGGGAGAACGATTGATTTGTCTTTTTAGCTCTACTTATTCTCTATGATTTGAATACAGACTGTTTGATGTCATTTTTACAGTGTAAAGACGAGATAGAGTTATTAGATATTTGTCATTAACAATCTATGCATCTAATCTAGATTAAAGTCTGGGTTTTTTTAGGGCAACAATGTACATATGTTGGAAAAATGAATATATTTTAAGTTTTTATAAAAGGAAATGAAATTGGGTGAAGGTTGGCGTTTGTTTTTTTTTATAGTCTACTAGTATTACACAAGAAGTAAATATTAAAAGCACTTCTTTTTTTCTAAATAGCAACACCATCATATAAAACTAAAAAAACCCAAAAAATTACAAGTGATATGTGTGGACAATGAAAGAATGTCCAACATCTGACAACATCATGAATTGTAGATCTGGAACATGTGTTTTAAAAGTTGAAAGATTTGTATTATTGAATGGACTTTTAAGCTTGAATGCGATCCGTTATCTCCATATTTCATCTGTTCAAAAAACTAAGTAGAAAGGATCATACTATAATCTTTACCAGTATTGAAGTAGCACATAAATTGTGTCTTTATTTGCATGAAAAGAAAGACGCCATTTATGCAAAGAATCAATAAGATTTTTTTTACACAAAAGATATTTGGAAATGTCGGTCACTGTATCCATCTTATGCATACTTATTTTGATTTGGTTCTGAAGTAAAATGTTTTGGGTTTTTTTTACACTGAGAATATTATATTGTATAAAAGAGTGAGTGTTTCATTTTTTACACAAGATAAGCATTTCACTTTAGTAAAAATGTTCAAAGACATCGAGGCAATAAACAGAAATCACTAATGTTAACTTAATATAGGAAAATACATGAAAATAAAATTATCTATTGATGTCTCTTGGCTTATATGAATGTAAGATAATACAAATTGAGTAAAATGTTGTAGATTTCAATTTATATCACTTTAGATCTAAAGAAAGATTACTTTAACTGAATAAAACTGCAACAGAATTAGAAGTCTTGAGCACACGAAAGAAGAAATCTTTTTTTGAAATTGATCGTTTGAAATATTTTTTCAGATGTACAGAATTCTTAAAATCAGTAAAATTACTAAGAACTTCTATCACAAGGAAAAAATCGTACATGTTTGCCTTTTGACCACGGGTCGGTGTTTTTGCCCTGCTCCAACGTTTTATTGTTTACTTGATTTATGAAAAGGATTACTGTTCAAATTTTCAGTTTTCAAAAAGAATGTATTAATCCTCACAGTGTATTAAGATTTAAAATACCATACAAGTACAATGAATTTGATATTAAGAAATGCTCGGGTTTCTCATAGACGATATCTACGTAGTTTTTGAGATCAGGTCTTCCATCTGTTAAAATTTTCATATGTACCCAATTGCTTCCCATCATTAGGACACCTACTTTTGTATTTATCTAAAACTGTGACTCAAGATCGTAGATATAACGGCGACGTACTACCAATTAACAATATTTACTAGGGACTTGTTTTATTTCAGCTTCCATCTCTCTTTTTTTCTTTTTTTTTTCTTCTTCAAATAATTTTTCGTGATATCTAGATTAAAGTAGAGTTTTAGTTTGCAGATAAAAAGTATTTTTGTAATTTTATGCTTTAAAAAATGTTTACTCTATATTAGGACAACAATAAAAATTTGTTTTTTTTTTATTTGTAGATATCTTTACTATGCTTCTGCTTCAATTTAATACATTATTTGATATATTACCTCAAAAAGTTCTTTAAGATAAAGGAGTTCAGGAACTCTATCTCGATGAAATTATCTGGGTCTCTGATATATTTAATGATATCGCAGTGATTTGATCAGAGTAGATCTGGCATAGAATGGAAAGAATGGTTATGGTGAATTCTGTTCTAATATTTCTTACACTTACTGTGTATTCCAGTGCAAAGTTCAACTGTACTAAATCAACATACTGTACCATCATAATATGGGCCAAATGGTCAGATTGCTCCTCGGGATGTGGACAAGGTTTAAGGTATCGTATGCCTGGCATGTGTTGTCCAAACGGAGTAACTGTTGAGACAATTTTTGAGGAATGTGCTGTAAAATTGTGTAACATGACGGAGAGTGATTACAATCAAACAGAGGTCTGTCAGTCTGCGGACAAGTGCTCTACAGGTAGCATCATTTCTTATTATCAAATTCTAATATAGTGGTCACAATTTTGTATATGGATCATTATTCTTCATTCCTAATACTTACAGTAAATTATAATTCATAGAAAATATTTTTCCTTATTCAAACTTAAGATATCCATATATATATATATATAGAAGCTTCTGAAGATTGAATATGAAAGCGCTAAAGCTTAACTGAGGATTTTTGTGTTTTCTTTTTAACTTTTTTTTAATATTGTTATCCGATTACTGAGACATTATTTAAATTTTGGAGATATATATATATATATATATATATATATATATATATATATATATATATATATATATATATATATATATATATAAGACTCCAAAGTCCGATGGTGACGCCATAGTCCGATGGTCTCGCCAAACCCCGATGGTCTGCGCCAAACCCCGATGGGTTTTTTTTGTCGGTACGTACGCCAAAGTCAGATGGCTCGTTTCCTAAGAGACACGTTGCGCTAAAGTGCGATGGTCTGACACGCCAAAGTCCGATGAACAATCAACGTTTATGACGTCACAATAATCCGACGTCAATCCTTGACGCCGTTGTCCTGCATTTAAAAGCCACCATTTCTGAATTCGTCCTCAAATACAATTTTATTGTTAGTCTTGCACCCACCCAAGATATCGAGGTTATTTTTATTACACACTTTTCGAGCACCTATCTGAGAGATGTAAGGGCTAGTTTTTGCATTTGTATATTTATACTTATTTTTAAGACCTTGGCATGGCGCGGTATTGAGGTTTGGGGCAGTGGTACTATGACGTCATAAACGTTAATTGTTTTTGGCACCATCGGACTTTGGCGTGTCAAACCATCGGGATTTGGCGCAGACCATCAGACTTTGGCGTGACCATCGGACTTTGGAGTCCCATCGCACTTTGGAGTCCTACATATATATATATATATATATATATATATATATATATATATATATATATATATATATATATATGTAAAGCACTGAAAATGACCAACGACACGAACAATAAAAATTGTCAAAATATATATACCGATAAATATAACAAGAATTCTTAAGGAATTCACTATGTGGAGATGACGAACAGCATTCAAGCTCAAAAGTCCATTAAACAATACAAATTATGGAGCAGAGCAAACACGGACCCTAAACATCAGGTGTCATGGAGGAGTGAGCAGGAAATAACGGAAAATTCGTCAACAATTTAGTGTGTAAATAATGGACGAACGATTAATATGAAAAACGTCTGTGAGTCGATTTATTGATATATTGTATTTGCTGACAAGGTTATTGTATCGACCACAGAACTTACGAAATGATGACTTTAAACTGATATTATTGCTTCATAAACTTGTTTGGCAATAACTTACGTCGTTTTAGAAATCTTTTTTAACGTAGTGGATGTTTTTCCGCATCGATAAATTGAGCGATATAAACTCCATGTGCTGGTGACAAGGGTATTTTGCTGCATAAGAAGGGAAGTTGACCATTAACAAACTAAAGTCATTACGTTTATCATAAAACTTTGTTGTTAGATAACTACTAACATCTTTTCCCAATAAACTATCCAAATATGAAACAGATGTGTCAGACTCTGTGGTATCTTTTATGTCAAGCTCACCGGGATATAACATATCGACATAAGAATGGAAAAATGGATTGTTCTAATATTTGAAGGTCAAAGGTTGTGGAACTGACAATTGGTGGAAAGAAACAAAGAAACAAAAATATATAATTACACTAACGCCTTGTTTTCACGAATATATCAGTAAAGGTTTAAAAATGAGATAATTATCTTCAAAGCATCCCCTGCTGACCAGTCACACCCGCCGTGTGCTCCTTGTCATGATCAGGAAATAACGGAAATATCCCTCGTCAATTCAGTGTATAAATAATGGACTAACAATTGGTATGAAAAACGTCAGTCAGCATTTGACTCAATGATAAATTGTACTTGCTGACAAGGTCATTGTATCGACCATAGAACTTACGAAAAGATGACTTTAAACGAGACTGTTGATATTCTTGTTTCATCAACTTGCTTGTCAATAATTTACCTTGTATTAGAAATTGTTCATACGTAGGGCATGCTCTTGCGTATCGATTCGCCTGCACACGGAGTGTATATATCTCAGTTGATTCGATACTATCGAATCAACTGAGATATGTACACTCCGTGTGCAGGTGATGAAGGAATATTGCTGCATAAGTAAGGGACCGGAAGTTGACGATAGAAAAGTTAAAGTCGTCACGTTTTTCATATAGCTTGGTTGTTAGGTTACCATTAACGTCTTTTTCAAGTAAAATATCCAAGTATCAAACAGATGTGTCAGACTCTGTCGTGTCTTTAATCTCAAGCTCTCCTGGATATATCGTATCGACGTAGGAATGGAAATTACCATTGTTAATTGACAATACGTCTTCGATATATCTGAAAGTCGAGTTGAAGGCCACAGCAAGTGTTTTCTTCTTTTTTCACGCATAAGATTTTGCATAAATTCTGCTTCATGTGAATACAAAAATAGGTCTGCTAATAAAGAGACATACAAAAAAATCAACTCATTGTATATCTATAAACATGGCAAAACTGTGAATGAATTGAAATGTTCATTGTCTAGGCACAATCAATTTCTAAACAAAAAAATGTTAATCGATGTTAATACAAAGCAAAAACACAAAATTCTACTGCTGTGTTTTTCACGCTAACTTGGACGTATGATACCTGTACATTTGATATTTTATTCGATGTGTAGAGAAATTTTTTTTCAGAGAACAATTTTTTTTGCTACTGATATTTAGCACAAAAGTAGGAAAGTTGCATGTTTTCGGTATACTGCTAAAGTAGTAAGTCTGGTTTATTCATGACTAAAGAGACTTTTAAAAAATAGTTATTCGAATGCCTTTCATTTTAGATGAACTATAAACGAAAGGAGTGTTCAGTGTTAAATTTGTGTGATAACCGGAGAAATAAAAATTAGGAAAAAATATTTTCTAATTTTCTTAGTAATTTTGAAATAAGTGAAATATGTAATTTATTCATGCTCTACTGCAGCTACACAACAAACAATACCGTTATCAACGAAGCTGTTCTCTACAACTACTAGAACCAGTCCTCCTACCAGAAGTACACAGAGACCTTCAACCATCAGTATGTAAATTATTACACTGTACAAACAATATTACTTGTCCTGAATACTCAAAGGGTCCGATTTATGCACAAAATTCTTTGTTCACGTACCAATTTAAATAGATTTTCTTCTATAAAAAATGATAAATCAGACTACTTTTTGTATTTCTTTGTTTACCTTCACCATTAAATTTTCAACCTGAAGGTAGAACATGTTCCCGAAGGTTGATGTGCTACAGTTACTAGTAATATTTTTTCCTGTGGAGATCTAAAACTCTGTCTATGTATTAGAAGCATTAAAATTTCATGTTATTTGCTAAATTTCTTTATTGGAAGCTGTTTAAGAAATGGCAAAGAAAGACAAATTAAGATACCTATTTTATTAGCAGATGTGGTTTCTTTACCACTAACTTCTCGTTCAAGTATTCAAGCGTTTCCGTCGTCTAAGCATGGAGAACCCGTTCGTAAGTTGAAAACAAGTACATTATGTTTTGAATATTTTTCTTATGAAAGAAGGTCATTTTTGTAGAATATTTGCAATTAATTTCAAAAAATCTTTACCTCCACTTTCGACTTTTCAGAAGACAAAAATTTGGCCCTACCCAGACCATTTGGTAAGTGTTTCATATTGAATGTTTCTGCTTGGAAACAATATTTTCTTTATCATTTTATACTTCTTTCAGTGTTAAGATGTTTCCTATTTTTTAAAATCTAACTCTACAAAGAAAATGCAAAATAAACATACTTAATTGATAAACTGAAATGTAATGATTCTTATTTCTCAATATGTGTATAAAATAGGTCTGCTCTTTTTAATAATTATAATTGTAATTATGTCTGTCAGTTAAAAAAAAAAGTCAGAGCTATCATGAATGCATTTTTAAAATATTTTACACCAGTGACTTAACATATGTTAGAAGTCATTAATGTTGCAATTATTATTTAGTAGGAATCATTCTATTTTTGGTAGGTATTGTGACTCTTTTGGTCATTTCTGCCTTGGTGTTGGCTACCCTAACATCAGTTGGGAGCTGTATCTACTTTGGTGTAAAACATTACAAAAAGAGAGGCCGAGGAAACTCCATCAGGCCTTGTGATGCCTGAATACATGTAACAATATGATCTATGACAATTCCGGCTGTAGATTAATTAGTTTTTGTTGTATTGGAAATAAATTCTTTTGAAAAAAAAAGTTTTTGGAACTCATTATTCTAACCTCACCAGCAGTTTTAGTTCAATACCTTTACTACATACTGTTAAAATTATATAACATTTGGCGTTATATTTTACGAATAAAACATTTTAAAAGTTTTCGCGTTGTTTTTTTTATTATGCTAGATACCAATAATAATAACAATACATTATTTCCTAAAGATTTTAAGGGACAAAACTGATTTAGAAGAAGCTGCCTATTACACCAAAGGCAAATGTAATAATGTCAGCATAGAGGTGTAATATTGACTTTTGCCATCACCTAATATGCTTATAATGAATCAAATGGTTTATCATACATATTTAGCTTTATATCTATACATGTATATATTTTTTTCTGTCCGCCTTTAAAACAGTGTTTCGAACGGTCATTGTTTAATTTTTATCACAGTAAATCAGGATGGGCGTAAATCTTACTTTCAATGTTTATCAACCAAATTACGAAAATCCAAGTACAAATCATTTCAAGTGTACATATATGGAACCAAGTTGCATGGGTCTTAAGTTTATCCTTTATTGGCAATAAAGTGCAATAAAGTGAAACATAAATTTGGCATTTATTTGTCTATTGCAGAGAGAAGAAAGAGTATATTTGTAGTTTTTAAAAGTAGGACTTTAACATTTAAAAGATTCCCCTGTTTCTATGTCGCATACGACTCATAGAGATTACTTTCAAAGCTGGACCTAGATTTAAAATATCTAAACCAAATCTATTTGCAATCAGTCTATTAAATTGTACCCTTGAAAACAATGAAAATAAAAACACGCAATGTGGTTTAACATGTTGCTCGTCTTGGATTTCGTGGTCTAAACTTAGCAGTTGTAAAATTTCAATTGAAACATATGTAAATAAAATTGCTGAATATATTTACTTAAAAACGAATTGAATTGCAAGCTTAAAACTAGAAAATATCAAACCTTACTTATCCTTGTATTTACAGTTAATTGATGAAAATCAGATTTTCGATATCAATATGTGGATTTCAAAAATTCTAAAGAACTTAAGAAACTTAAAAAAAAAACCACCAAATTTTTCAAAATCTATTACAAAAAAATGTTCCACTTTTCTAAGCTTTATATGATAATTTTCTCACGATAAATTCAAATCAAGAATTCTTTAAAATCGAAGACAACTTCTTCATCAGTAAAAACAGAACGCAGAGATTTTCTCATCTTGTGAGCAGCAAAATTCCTTAAACATCATTCTGATAATACTCTCAAGAACTCTTTAGTCGAAAACCAAAGGATGTTGGAGTTCCTCATTGAAAAAAGTTTATGTAGTCTTTGAAGACCAAATTTTCAAAAAACTTGAAATTCCAATGGACACTAATTGTGCTTCTTTGTAAGCTAGCTATTTTTCAAATTTCTTTAAAGCACAATTGTTTTAAAAACTTCAACTCTACATGACAAAAAATTCACTGGTTTTTGGATTTTAGTTTGACATTCTGATGTATCTACGATGATCAGTTAATTAACAAAAGCTATTTTGAATAGTTATTTTATCGATTCAATATATTCTAGTGAACTTGAAAAAAGACACCAGAGTATGAATTATCTGCTCCATACTGGTATTTTGATGTTTTACCGACTATAAACGACGGGGGCCAATACAACAATATAATATAAAGAGCGAGATCACTTCAGGGTTTCCATGTCAACTTTCAGTTTAAGATACAATGATCATATCAACCAATTCAACCTATCATTTAGATAAAAACTGATTGATGTTTTCATTGATACTAATTGTTGTGTCATTATTTAAACATTGAATTATCAACGGATTTTTCTGTTAATTCCCGATCATGACAAAGAACACACAGCTTTGTGTGGCCGGTTGGCGGAGGATGCTTATTTCTCCATGGCATGTGAACCAACCTCTGATATTTTAGAGGTCCGTGTTTGATCTGCTCCTGATTTGTATTGTTTAAATAAACTCTTGAGCCTGAATACTGTTTGTTATCATCATAAAGTGCATTATGTAGTAATATTCCACGTTCACCTTTTCATGTTTTTTTTTTGTCCCAACATTTACCCTCTACTCAAGAGCTTTCTCTGAGTACGACTAGTCTTAAAGCAAGGCGTGCTACTCACTGATATGTTAATGTTACAGTGATCTAAAAAAACTCGTGTAAAGTCGGTATTTTGTAAATTCTATGGCGTAATATTGATCATGTTAACATATATTTTCTATAAATGGGTCGTATTTTGTCTGACTTGTTTCATACCAGTTGTACGGCCTTTGTTTTTTTCTACTGATTTGACTGTAGAAAGTCCTGTCTTCCTGATCAATACACAGAGCTCACGGCGGTAGTGACCAATCAACAGATGCTTACTCCTTCTAGCCAGTTCTAGGCTCTTGGTCCCACCTCTGGAATTTCCAGGGGTCCGTGTTTTATGCCATATTTGTTGTGTTTATATATTTTTTGTGATCGATGGATGTTAACTGTCTTTATCATTAACATGTTATATAGCTACATGAATATGAAATATATTTCAACGGTGAGACAAAATGTTCCGATATGCCATTACTTTTTTAAAAGAATATTTTTTTTACGATTGCAATTGAAATACACGCTTCTGAAGATAAAAATAAACATCCTTTTCTGCAAGTGAAATAGATTCCATATCCAACTTCAAAACACTGCCCATCCTCTATACATTTTATACATATCAATTTTAACGAAAATTTTAGTAAAATATTATAATTGCGATATTTTTTTTTAATTCACTGAACATTTCGGTAAGATTGATATGTATGAAAACTTGATAATTCCTGCGGAAAAAGCGGCTTAACTCTATCATGCCTAGTTAAAGTTTTAAAATATAACCATCATGTAGAATGTACCTACGCCAATATCTTTAAATTCTTTCAAGGATTTTTTATCATTAATATTTTTCAATTATTAAAATATCTATATGCTTATCTAGCTCTTTATGACAATGCTTAATTTTTTCTTATGAAATTACCTTTATGCAAATTGAGGTGTTTGGAGTTAAAGTTTTTGAATATAAGCAATCATGTATGCAAAGTTTAAATCTTTACAATTCCAAATAATACCAACTGTCTTTTTTTAAAGGATGTTACTCTTTTGTGCTTATCTTATACAACATTTTTCAAAATTACTAAAAAAAACATAGTATACATAAATATAGATAAATCAGCTATATATGAAAATGCTTTTTTTGTTATAATATATCACCTACACGAAGTTTACATCTCCTTGTGCATTAGATATACAAGAGCATGCTCTTCCAACAATCATCTTCTTAAAACATATTTGAAAAAAAGTTTATGAAACAGAGCTATTAACAGTCTCATTTCAAGTTATCATTTTGCAGGTTCTATTGTCTATACATTTAACTTGTCAGCAAAGACAGTATTGCGTTGTCGTATTGTTTTGCCATTATTTACACAATGAATTGTCTACGGATTTTTCTGTGTTCCCGATTATGACAGGGTCGACAGAGGATGCTGACTCCGTAATGGCATCTGATCCCGCTCCCGATGTTTTAGGGGTCCGTGTTTGTTTTACCTTCGATTTGTGTTGTTTCGATGGACTTTTAAGGTTTATTCCTGTTGGTTATCCTCATAGTTCATCTTAGTTATTAAATATGTTCAAACCAAACAAATGAGATAAAGTCATTATAGCGTCATCAAGGGTAGACGTTGTTTCAAGTGGTCGAAAATTACAACGTTTTTAAATAACACCGTTTAAGTACTTAAAACCAACTTTTATTTGCGTGCGAGAAATTTTCGCGAGGTTCGCGAGAGCCCTTACAAGGTTTTTGTGCCTATTAATAACAGATCCAAAATACGCTTGATCGCGAAAAATAACCATCGCGAGCTAGTTTATCCCCGGTAAATCGCAAAATAAAGTCGCGAATAAAAGTTGGTTTACAGTATACCATTTGAAGGGTTTAATTTATTAAACATTTGTAAGCATATAAGTTATAAAGAATTATTTTAAAATATCTATCAAATATATAGTAATTATGAGTTTGGACGGCATCAAATTTACCACGAGAACCTAATTGATTATGTACCAATCCTATTTATCAAACCTTTTTTTTTCGCAAAGCTTCGGTATGCATAGGGAAAATGTAAAGAATTGTCAATTTATATTTCATATACTTATCAAATGTTAAAGTAATTTGTTAACAATTGTACCTTAAGCAGTTAAAACAACTCACATTTTTCTAATTGATCAAAACAACCAAACTGAATTGAATTACTATATTATATTGGATTCTGAAACTTCATTAAAATCCTTACAATCAAAGAGGCATAGCAAGTTCCAGCAAAACCAAGCCTCTTTCTTTACCCCTCACTAAGCTATTAACAGCAGTGAAGGAGAAAGTTCAAGGGTACTGTGCAACAATATACATTTATTCGAGAAATCAGATGTGAATTCTTAAAAATTTCAAGGAACTTTTGGAAAATTTGAAATAACAAAAATCTCAACATAGTCAACAGCTTAAAAATTTATCATTTTTCAACTTCATGATATCACTGACAGCTGAGTTTTTAATAAAAATGGAACTCGTAAATTTAATTACTATGTCATTTGTTATTTTGCAAAATTATTTTGTTAAAAACATTCTGATTGTACACACAAGTACTCTGAAGTTGACAACAAAAAGATGCTTGAGATTCTAATCGACAATATCTATGTTGTTTTTGGAGACCACGTCTTCCAACAATCTACTGGAATTCCAGAATTTGGCCAAAATTTTATTTGTGAAAAGAAGAAAACACTTCAACTCGACATTTAGATATATCGACGACTTATTGTCAATTAACAATGGTTATTTCCACTATAATGTCAATACGATATATCCCGGTGAGCCTGAGATAATAGATACAACAGAGTCTGACACATTTCTTTCATTTATGGATATTTTACTTGAAAAAGATGTTAATGGTAATCTAACAACCAAGCTCTATTTAAACGTGATGACTTAAACTTTACAATCGTCAACTTCCCTTCCTTATGCAGCAATATACCTTTATCAACTGCATACGGAGTTTATATATCTCAGCTGCTTCGATACACAAGAGCATGCTTTACGCAAGAACAATTTCTGAAACAAGGTAAATTATTGACAAACAAATTGATGAAACAAGAATATCAGCAATCTCGTTTAAAGTCATCATTTCGTAAGTTCTATGGTCGATACAATGACCTTGTCAGCAAATACAATTTATCATTGAGTCAAATACTGACTGACATTATTCATACTAA